TTTTTTCTAAGGTTGCCCTATTAAGAGCACATGCTGGCGAACACCTGTTGCTTGGAGCAGCAAAAAGGTCCATGGGGTATAAGGACATTTTACTTTTAGGTAAATATTGGTTTTGCTTTAATTAATAATAATGATAGTATATTACACTAGCAACCATGTAATCATGTAAGCGGGACAACAGTCCTGACATAATCAAAGCAATGCATTCTGTGCATGCTAAATATTTATTAATGACATCATGTCATGCGCTTTGTTCCAGCAAAAGTAGGTGGATAGTAGCTTGTAAATTAAAATCACAAAATGTTCATTGGATAGCAAAAGCTACAGCCTAGAGGGTTCTTGGCAAAATGACACCTTTCATTGGAATCTTTCCTGGTACCATTGTCCTACTAAAAATAAATAAGAAAACTTTATTTGAGAGAGGAAGAACTAATCTGTGGCTCATGTGCTGAGCTCCATCTTGGTGAAATATATTCGTTCATTTGGCTCTTTCCCAAAAGTTCTTCTTATGTGGACACAGAAGATGCTGCAGGCTGAAAGAATTGTTCCGATACAGTTCCCAGTAACTCTTTTTCCCAAAGGCATTTTCCCTTCTGCCTTTTCGGTCACCGTCTAGTCACCACGTAACCAATATGCAGGCATGTGAGGGATGTGCCCATTCATGGTACTGCAACGTGTCTAGTAGGCCAGGAGGCACACAGGCACGGAAACGACTCTCTTGTTAGATTACAGACTGAGAGCATGCCAGCTCATGGAAGGGGTTATTATCACGTGGTGGATGCATGTTTTCCATTTTCTTATGGAACAGAGATACAGTCCTACAATGAGATGTATGCTTTTGCGCTTAGTAACGTGACAAATGCTTCTCCACTGTCGACAGTACACTTCAGTCTGAATGCACTCGACAAAAATGTTTTCAGTAAACATATGCAGTACTTTGGCTCTCTTGTGAGAAAGTGTGTAGGTCTTACCGGACAGGATCTTGAATGCAAACCAAGACTAGGCAGAATATGGACTCAGCTTACTTTCTTCATTTATGTTGTGATACACAAAGGTGGATTATCTCCTGCTTGTTCTACTTCCTTTTCAGGTCTGCATTTCCATAGCTCTGAATCAACTTGAATTTACTTTTACACATACCATATGAGGGAAACAAAGTGCTTGCTCTCAAGATTCTACTTGCATTAGCAGTCTTTTCAACTTTCACCCTCAACATTCCTGACTCCTTTTCTAAAAGAAGTCTTCTTTGTCCATTGACAGATTCTGTTCATCCTAGAATATATCATTTTTTATAAGGGAGGAAGAAATTTAAAATCAGTTTAATGCTAACTTCTTACGTAGACATGAAGGCCTACTTCATCTATGTTTATGCATTCAAATATGAACCTCAGTTCTGTGAATTAATCAGGACATGATGACATAGTCACATGCATAGATTATTTTAAAGGAGAGAGCTATATTTTGCCCATAAACTGTATTTTCAAAATAATGGTTTCATATGGTAGGAAGGAAAGTTATTGCAGGAAAAAGAAAGTAATGTTCATAAATTTGATTGTGCGAATAGAAATGTGCTTCTGAAAATTTTACATCTAAATGTTTATGAGTTATCAATACTATATGTCGGTACTTTTTCTCTCCAAGGTAACAATTACATAATCCATCGCAACAGTTCTGAAGTAGAGATCAGCCGAGTGGCAAATCGGATTCTCGATGAACTAGTTCGACCCTTCCAGGAAATTCAAATAGATGACAACGAGTACGCTTGCTTGAAAGCAATTGTATTTTTTGATCCAGGTACATATTCCAAAATACATCTCAGAACTACCTTACATATTTACAATGAAAACAATATTGTCTAAGTAGCATTTCTCCCATTGTCCAGCTGGATGGGAAAAAAAAAAAAAAAGAGGAAAAAAAAAAGCCTTAAGATGATCCTCCCAAATCATAACCTGATTTGAAGTAAAGCCTTTCTCATTTTTTAAGATGCAAAGGGCCTGAGCAATCCAATCAAGATTAAGAACATGCGGTTCCAAGTCCAGATCAGTTTAGAGGATTACATCAATGATCGCCAGTATGACTCCCGAGGAAGGTTTGGAGAACTCCTGCTTCTACTGCCTACACTCCAGAGCATCACCTGGCAAATGATTGAGCAAATACAACTGGTCAAGCTCTTTGGAATTGTTAAAATTGACAGTTTGCTTCAGGAAATGTTACTGGGAGGTAAGTTAATATCTTAAATTTATCATATTTTGTTGAATTCACTGCGTTGGGGAATTGAGAGAATCGTGTAAGCATTTCATCCACTGGCCAGTGACAGAGATTTGGAGTCAAATAATTGTTGGCTATAATCCTCTAGTCTTGGCTTGTTGTTTACTCAGTCCTACATGTTCAAATTGTATTTCTCAGGCATTGCTGTTTATCTAGACACAGAATTCCCTAGGCAGACTGAAGAATCCATACAAATATTTCATGAAATTCTATATTAATGCAGTCAAAGCAGTGAAAATAAACACGGTGCTTAATATGGTTGAAGTCTGGTTAAATTGTTTAATGAATACCCAGAGGCAATTATTCAAATTACCAATCAAAATATTTGCTCTACAGAAATGTAATTACTACAGTATAATTTGCTGACAACAAGATGCTCTTCTGAACTGATATGTGCTCGTGTTATTTTTGCAGGTACTTCTCATGATGCTAGTCATCTACATCACCCAGTACATCCTCACCTAGCACAGGATCCGCTAACTGGCCAAACTGTCCTCATAAGTTCAATGTCTGCTCCTGTACATGCAGAACAGATTCGTAAGTAATTGCAAGTTAGCATTATGTCATAACATTTCATTATTACATTTAAGAATATTAATTAAAATGGTGGCCTGTCAATGCTAGTAGAATTATTTCACTGTCATTCTTTGTATTAAAATAATTGTGTACTAAAAACATATGCATAAAAACAGTACTAAACAAGAAGTTTGACTTGAATTTAATCTAGTTTTAAAAGTTGTCACCATTCCAATTTTATCACTGGTTTTCCTACACACAGCTTTTAATAAACTAAAAATTCTGGTAATTAAAATGACCTATTTACCTAATAGGTCAAGTTTAAAAGAACCTAGTTTGGCACAGTAACATGTATGTGTGCATGCTGACCAGAATATAAAAATTCATAATTGTCTCTGAATTCTTTTTCAGCAACTCCAGAAACTCCATTACCTTCTCCTCCTCAGGGCTCTGGGCAAGAGTACAAAATGTCTACGAATCAGGCCTCAGTCATTGCACAACAATCTATTTTGAAACAAAAACCCTTGTGATAACATTTCGTGCTCTCTCTCTCCTCTCCTTCCACCCTTTTTATGCACTAGATAAATTGTTAGGACACTTGCACATTTAATATCTCAGGTTACCAAAGGAGATTATTCCCTCAGCAGCCACTACTGCGGGTGTTTCTTGTGACTTTTCTTTCATGATTCAGAAAGTACTAATGTTCTCACTGCAACATACAATTTTAACTGTGGGTACTGCAGTCTGAGAAACATATATAGAACTCGATATTGTTTTTAGATCTTTTTAACTGCACAGATTCCTTTTTTTATTTCTTGTTTTAGTTGTCATCTTAATATTATTGTCTTAGATGTGTATATAATTTTTTAATTTTTTTTTCACTGTGACTGAACTAGTTATTGCTTGTTTAGCTGTGAATAGTAGACATGACAAAGTGGTTTAATCAAACACAAGCCAAGATTCCATAAATAACAAAACAGTAAAAGTAGGTGTATTAAATAAAAAGCAGAAAATATTCATTGGACAGAAATACCCAAATCATTTTAAAAATCCTAATATGAAAGAACTGTGTTCTTCAACTAAAATTTGTGTGTTAAATAAAATTCTCCTATTCTTACCCATTTGTTTGAATGAATCAAAAGGCCTGCTATGTGCCAATATATTCAAGGTTTTGCATACACAAAAAATACCTGTATTAGTCAGTTAAACAGTGCCAAGGTAAGGGTGCAGAAACCAGTAGACTAGCATTTATACTGGTAAATTTTGGGCATTCTTTATGAATTAGGCCATTTCAAGGATACTTTTCACTAGGCACTTTGGGCATGGCCACCTTTCATTTGGGGCTCGCAGCGTATAACTGTATGAATATGTTCAGATCATGCCACTTGACCTCAGGGCTGAAGAATAGACTTTTTATTGTGTAATTTGCTAGTGTAAATGCAGTGATCGTGTTTATTTGTCTAACAGGCTAGCGAATGCAGGCAGAGTAGTTAATAGTTATGTAGCTATTATATGTCTGGAGAGATACGGCTCACTAACTGGAATGGCAAACACACGGAAGCTTAGTTCCATATGTTCATCATGTTTTGAGCCATAGTAGTTCAAGCCAGAAGACAACCAGCATTAATTAATTAGTCTCTGGTTTTCAAACTCTTACAGTTTCCAGATGCTTATGACAAACACTCTACTTAATGTGATGAGCCTTCTTTTGCTCCTCTTCCTCCCTTTCCAGCTTGCAGGGATCCAGCAGTTACTAAACTTCTGTGTCTGGAATCTATAAAATCTCATCTGGATTTGCCCTCTCGGTGCATTTCACAAAGGACACCTTGTGATAGGTGCTCACTTAGGCATATGTTCACTCCTAGTCAGAACTGGTGAAAATGATCTAGTCTGATACATAAAGTGATTCTATTGTTCATACAATGCTGATGTCATAAGAAAATCATCACGATTTTGCACATTTTATGTATTCCAGACAGCAGTGCTTTTCCTTTGTGCTTTAAAGTAAATGTTCTTCCCAGAAGTTGTGTAATAGAACAACAGGGAAACAAACAAACAAACAAAAACAAAACAAAACAAAACAAAAACCAAACCCCTCTGGGGTCAGGAGTGCTACAAGGTGGATGTTGGTTGTCCTGAGCCAGGTATCTGCATTGATCATAACATCAGAAGCTCATAGTAGATCCTAGAGCTACTTTTGCACAAAGAGGAAATGGGATGGAGTAAAGGCTGTGCTTATCTGAACATGCAAAATGCTTTAATAAGAATACACTTACCATCAGGTAGATGCTGTGTGTTTCTTTAGGTATTTTGAAGTAGTTGTTTTTGTACTTAAATCTGCATATAGTAGCTCTTAATGTTTTTGCTTTTTAGGTAATGTTTTATTTTTCCAAGGAGTGTTTTTTCTTTTGCTGGTTACTTTTTTTTTTTTTTTTTTTTTTGCCAATGCATTTCTCCTTTTTTAAGGCTTTTTTTCTTTTAGCATGAGTTACCATGATAAAATAAAGTAACAAAGTTTTGCCATTAACTTCAGGAGAATTAGGACTGTGCTATTTTTACACATAGGCCATTAGTGCTTTTTGATGAAACACATAAAGCGTGCATGAAAAATGACTGACCGGGGTTACCTTGTGCATCTGTCGTAGGAAGAGTGTTTGTCCCCGGTTGGATCTGCATGCCTTTACTGGATTAGATTAACTAAGTTAGATGTATAAACATAATAGTATTTTTCTGGTTTAGAACATTTGACTAAAAAGAAAGTTGGCCACCTCTGCCTTATATAAGCAATGCACAGAGTAGCTTATTTGGTTTAGTCTTCACACTGTAATTTAGATATCGGATGTACAATAAAATGCTTTCTGACACTGCCAAAATGTACTGGATGAAGCATACTCTAGTATTTCATCTTACTAAAGCTGTATTTTGTATGGTATACTACATTTTTGAATAGGATCACCACTGTAATTTATTGGGAAAAGCTGATTTATTTTATAAATGTAACATTATTTTTGTAAATGTAATTATGCAAAATCAAAAATGATTAGCTTTGTTAAATATTAAATTATAATAAGACGTAACATTATATGTTTGAACTCTGATACCAAGTTTTTGTGTTGAATACTTGGAATAGAAATGGTTGCTGGAAATGTTTCAAATGGACTGTTTTTCATCAAAGCTCAATAAAGAAAAATGAATGATCTGAATATCACATTTGCCTTTTGGTAATTTTTTGACTATTTTCATAAACAATGATGATGTTTTATATTGTTTATCTTATATATAAATATAAAAATGTAGCATATTTTCATTCCTACAGTATTGAAATTGTATGACAACATGATGGCAACATTTTAGCTGATTCTACTGCTAACTATTACATAGCTATAATTTTCAGTTCTTAGTTCTGACTCAGAAAAGAATTCATGCACATGCTTCATTCCCTCTGTGTTTAAAATGAAGCATGTATTCAGCAGTCTTTTTTACGGACAGGGATAACTTGACAAAACATTGCCTCTAGTTGTTCCGGTGCACTGTTATTTAAGCTAATTTGGTCACAGCTACGCAGTTCTTTGTTTTATAGATAAAGATATTCTAAACTATTAAACTCACTCCTACTGATACTTTTTTGTCAGGCAATGAGTATCTGCTAAACGCAAAGTATATTTGCTAGTGTGTGCCTTCTGAGCAGGTTTCAAATAGGTTTTGATTTTGGTGTCATTTATATCATCTACACTAGAGTGCAGAGGTACAAAGCAAAGCTGCCATGGGAAGCAGAAGACTTCTGATGGAGAACTTCAGGTCCGTTTGAGAAGCTTGTGTCTGATTATTGTACAGTAAGGATTTCTCTGTGTTTTACTTGTAAGTACTGGCTTGGATGAAAGAAGTTAACTTTTGAAAGTAGGTAATGAAAGAAAAAAAAGATTGGGGAGTAGATTTTATTTTTCAGTCTGCAATGCAGAAAACCTCCTCTAAATCTTCAATGCACCGAAGTGCTAACAGACAGAGTCTTCTTTAAGGATTTCTATAAATCTACTTTACAAACAGGTCCATATGTGTATGAACACATATTTTAAATAGAGAGAGAAGGATGTACTAGCTTTCAGTTCTAAGCACAATAAGAAAATTTTCCCAGTGAAGGAATTCTGAATAAATTTATTGAATACCAGGAACCTTGTGTTACTGAAAAATTAACATTATCAAGAGTTTAAGAAAAGAATCCATAGATCTTTGCTAGAATTTGTAAAATTAGCAGTTCTTTTTTCACCTGAAGGATATCAGACAGTGTCTGATGAGCAAAATGATCGCCTATCCAATAGATTATTTCTAACAGTATGTCTCCATTATTTGCATACACTTAGGTAAAGTTTATAAAAAGCAAGACTTAACTCCACATTTTGCATGAATTATTCCATAAGCGTTCTGCAGTGGTTTGCAAATTTCTACATATTTTATACTGTCTCTAACCTATAGTCCTTAGCTTTCTTCTTTTCCTCCATCCTCCCTAACAATAACAACAGCTGCAGCAATAGCAACAACCTTATTTATCCAGGAGTACTCATTAACTGTGTTAATGGACTTCTTCCTCTTTTGCCAGCTTTATAAAACAGAAAAAAAAAGGAGCATAGTTCTTATCAGGATTGACATTAACATTTTTTTTTGTTTTTTTTTTATTGTTTTCTGGCAAATCAAAATATTTTTGCCAATCAGAAAGTCTAGGTAGATATAAAGAATCCTATACGAAATTAAAATGTAAATTTGATTACAGTCAGGAGAAAAGGTGCTGAACTGCAGGAAATTTCAAAATCTCTTCCACAGAAATTAAATTAAAATGCATACATGATTTCTAAGAAACTTTGAAACATAATAGAATGAAAGAGGATTTTAGTTTTCTATAAGCAGATGGAAGGACTATTTTTATTTGAATATGTCCAGCCAATAGCATCTGAAGAGGATGAACAAAATCTCATTAAGATGGAGGAAAAGACTTATGCCTAAAATGTTATTTATACTAAGTCTAAAAAAAAAATAATAAATTATGATGATGATCTCTATTCCATAAGGTTGGGGTGGAGCTATTGTTATTGACATTATCTGGTAGTTCATCAGAGTTAAGGGTCAAAGATGCCACATCAACATTGATTTATTGGTGGGGCTAAGAGGTTTCTCAGCTCCTCACTAACACTGCATGATGTGGCAATGGCTGCAGCTCACATCAGGGAGCGGGCTTAATTGCAATTGCTGATGATTCTGGGCATGACACCACTTCTTCCTTTGGCAAAGGTCAAAGTCACCAGTGTCTACCATAATAGAGTGTGCTCCAGAGAGTGAACAGCTGCAAGTCTTGTTCAGCCAGTCTAATTAAGGGGTGGCCCTGGTTAAGGCTCAGGCAAACCACTGGATGTTCTCTGAAATTGGAGAAGAAATATTAGAAATACACATGGCAATGTCTCTGTGACTTGTGTCTGAACAGTGCTGGCTAATGTTGCCTTTGAGAACTGGCTTAGTCTTATGGTAATAAGGAGATGGTATCTGAACAATTCAGAACCTCATAT